TATATGTATAGCTATATAATTTCTCCCTGTACACAATATCTCACTCTAACTTAACTGTCTCACTCCGTAATCTTAATTAAGATTATAAAGTAAGACAATATAAGTTGGAATGAAATTTTATATATATGGTGTATCTGAAATAACGCCCACTAATCATACAGTGCTTTTCCTAATAAAAAAAAACTGAGTCGAAAAGTCCTCTACCATTTTGCAATTTTCGTAATATTTTTTTTTAGTTACTCAATGAGCGAAATGTCTACAAAATCGACGTATAAGACAACTTTAAGATAGCTTTAAGAGTTCTTTAAGAAACATCTTCAAAATATTTCACAAAGTACTCAAAAATATCTTAAAATTGTCTTATGCCCAATTTTTTTACTTCTAAATAACTTTATCGAAGAGATATCTCCCGTACAATGGAGAGTACAATGGAGATATCTCCTGGATAAGGTTATCCCCAATCTTATCTGGAAGTGAAGAAATTGGACATAATACATCGATTTTATCCGTTTATTCGACAATCTTTAGAAATTAATATCTCGTTAACTATTACGAAAATTGCAAAATGGTAGAGGACTTTTCGACTCAGTTTTTTATTGGGAATAGCACTGCATGATTAGTAGGCGTTATTTTAGATACACTCTGTATATATCGGTGAGAAACCTATTTAGTTGACTCAATTTCTTGTTTGGATATGGGCAAACAAATCCTTGGTGTTTATATGCAATAAAATAATAAAAGTTGAAGCAAAACCTTTGGTTATTGTAACATTTTACCTGTTTCTGATAAACAAGTTTATCAGATGTCAATTTTTATCAGAAACAAGTAAAATGGTAAAATAAATGTTTTACTTTAACTACATTATTTTATTGCATCAACTAAGGATTTGTTTACTCATATCCAAACAAAAGGTTAATTGATTCAATTAAATGAATTTCTTAATGCATATACACGTGTATATATATATATATATGGAGATAATATACAGGGTGTTCGGAAATTCAACCGACAACACTCGTGGGCAGGTATAAGAGCGGACTAAACTGAGTCAAAAAGTTCTCTATCATTTTACAATTTTTCGCATAACGAGACATTAATTACTTAAAATTACCGAATATATTTAATAATCTTTTACTCAAATACTATCAATTTTACATAAAAACAGCGAGAGACAAAAATTGTTTATTTTTTTTCTTCTCACAGAACTCTAAGAACTTTTTCAGAATTTTTTAATACCGTATTTTCTCATGTTGGTAAAAAGTAAAAAATGCAGTTATCAACCAAAAAGTTGATAAAAAATTCTGAAAAAGTTCTTAGAGTTCTGTGAGAAGAAAAAAAATAAACAATTTTTGTCTCTTGGAATTTTTCTGTAAAGTTGATAGTATTTGAGAAAGAAATTATTGAAGACCAATATATATATTCGGTAATTTTTAGTAATTAATATCTCGTTAACTCTTGTGAAAATTGCAAAATGGTAGACTTTTCGACTCTCAGTTTAGTCCACTCTATCTGCCCACGAGCGTTGTCGATTTAATTTCTGAACACCCTGTATATACCTTTCTCACAGAAAGAAAAAATTTGCTATAAACATTAATCCTATGCTATGTGACAGCAAATTCTATTTACAAATATATTTTACGAATTCTATTTACAAATACAGGGATTGCAAAATTATTTGCAATTGTAACAAATACTTATCTTTTTTTGTACTCGCTACAAAAATTATTTGCAACAAATGCAAAATATTTATCAAATATGTAAATTTGTTTACTATGAATAAAAAACAAATTTGACAATTAAATTTTTCAACCCTTTATTTTCATAGTAATATTATTTTTCTCCGTGCTCTCTCGTAGGATTTTGACAAAATCGCTCGTGGTCAAACTGTTACGGAATCTCGAGAAATTATATGAAGAGAGCAATTACAATTTAAAAAAGATTTATAACTTTCCAATGCGGATCGAGAAAATATATTCTCTCTCGGGTTCTCCGTGCATAGTTAGTCGCGCGCGTCATTCGGAGCGCTTATCGCGCGAGATAACGCCACCGTAGATATCGAGCTCTCCTTCTAGTTGCGAATAAACAATGCGTTACCGTGACAGATTACAGCTTACCCCTCCTACCCTGCCGTACGACACGTTAAAGTAGTTTAGCGATATGAACCGCAGTATTCGTCTTCAAAAGAAAATATACATATTGCGAAGCGAGAATCTAAAATTCTATATTCGACCGTGAAATAGTTCAACCAAGTATTTTATTTATTTACTTGGTTTTTCGCGTCCGACAATGTCGCGCTGTGCTTCAGAGTATCAATAACCTTATTCTTGAAAAGTCTCGCATACAAAAATACTTGAAAAATCTATGATATACAGTGGCTGCCAAAAGTTTCCGGTAACTAACAATTTTACGATATATTTGTCAATATAATTTTTAGTTTATATTATAAGTTAATAAAATTCTTGTTCAACTTAAGAACATGGTATTTTAAATATTTGTGTATTGGATATTTATCTATAAAGATTCTTTATGAGCAATATATTAAAATTACTCATTAGCCGGAAACTTTTGATAGCTACTGTATGTAACGTATATTAGAATATTTTCATACATTTTTATATACGTCATTTTTCAAAAATATGACCTCAAGAGATATCTTTTTAAAAAACATCGCATATCAAAATGAACGAAAATATTATGTGACATTATGTATAATATATTAATGGCTGCGTTCAGCAGAAAAAGCAGCTTTGTGTGTGTGTGTGTGTGTGTGTTTGTGTGTTTGTGTGTAACTATTACAAAATTCTTTAACCCTTTCAGACATGATTTTATTGGAACTATGTTAAAAAAATTTTCTTTTAATTCAATTCATGCGCACTTTAATAAATGATTCATACTAAACAATTAATTTTTTATCAAATTTTGGCTATTTTTGCAACATAGGTATACATTATTATGTGCATCAGATCTCTAATATCGATAGAATTAAATAATTTTAACGAATATCGAGAATCTGAAGGGGTGAATACAATTGATTTATACTTCGCTGCGTTCAACGGAGAAAGCAGCTTTGCAACTATTGTAAAATTCTTTAACATAATTGATTTATACATTTAGATCCAGTGAGGAACTAAAGACAAAATCAATTGCATTAAAGAATTTATTTATTTTTACGACAGCTGCAAAGCTGCTTTTTCTGCTGAACGTAGCTACGGATGTCTAGTATTTATGTAAACCCAAGACTACATTCCAAAGCGTTTCCTCTCCGAGGAAAATTTTACTCGAAATATATAGTACACATAACACTATGTTATATCGAATAAAGTTTTCCTTGGAGAGGACATTTTGGAATGCAACCCTAATGGACTTTTCGAGAATAAGGCTCCGGAGTATCATCGAAGTTTCGAGCAGAGTCAACTCGAGGAAAGCGGAAAAGATCCCCGAGTATCGACTCGGAGCTTCCGCGGTCGCGTGCAACCATCGCTCACGCGGCTGACGCGGCACCGCACCGCGCCGCACCGCGTCGCGTCGCGTCGCGTCGCATTGTCGCGACATATAACCTCCAAAAGCGACCACATATCGCTGTCGGTGCCACGACGTACAAACGCGCTGGAACGTTACGCGTTAAGAAGAAAGAAGGAATACGAGGATCGAGACGTCGCTGCATCGTCGATGATCCGCGATCGGTGACGGCAACGAGCGAGCGCGCCGCGACGGAGGAACGCGAGGTGGGAGCCGACGCGTCGACCACCGACGACGAGGATGACGACGGCGGGCGGAAATACGGGATTAACTCCCCGCGAGAAAAGAAAAAGCGTATCCCTCCGCGACGACGCGCCTCCGTGATGCGTGACGTCTCGGCCGACGGCGCGCGCGATTCCGCTTCTCTCGACCGGCGAATTCGCGCGCGCGTTCGCGCGACAGAAGACGATTCTCAACTTACTTGCACTTGCGTAGGCCGCAGCCAAGGAAGTCCGACGTGGGGCACACCGGAACGAATTCTCACGCACGAACACGATATGAAACTTCGGTAGGCAATCACGTCGCAATGGCGAATCGCGGGTGCGTTGTGATCACTGTGATCGTACGCTGCCGCCATCTCGCGGCGCGGAGCGCGCGACGCCGAGCCATTGGTGGAGCGCGACCAATCGCGAGGCGGCGCTGTTTTACGCGGGAAAACGCTCGGGACGCCGGCCGCCATGTTGCGAGGCCGCATTTAAATCTGGCGCCGTTTTCGGCAGTATGCTAATCGCGAAATAGTTCGACCGGGAAATCAATCGTGTGACATTTTCCCCACCACAGAAATATAAAAAGTAAACATTTTTATATGATATTTGAAATATTTTTATTTGAAAAACTGTATTTGCAAGACAATTGTATTTTGAATTTTAAATACTAAGGTTAACGATCAATTTTATTATTTGAATTACAATTAAAATGCAAAAAAACTTTCAATCTTTTGATTTTAAATACAAAATACGTAATACTTTTATATGCTCTGTTGAAATACAAAATACACTTGTATTGCAAATACTGTGTTTTAAATTTAAGTATTTCAAATATACAATATGCCTAGCTCCAATCAGCACACAATATTAAAAATCATTTTTTAAACATTTAATATTTTTATATTAAATAAATATTTAAAAAATATTTTTTAAATATTTTTTAAATATTTTTTGTGTGCTGATTGGAGCCCTGTGTGTATGTATGCACACGTACATACACTGAAAAGAAAGTTTTCTAAATCTAAGTAATTCATTTCTTGAATGATTCCAAGTAAATGGTTCCAAGTATTTCTTGCTAAAGAAACGTTTACTTGGAATTATTCAAGAAACAAACGCTTATATTTAGAGAATTTTTTTTCAGTGTTTGCATACAAAAATTTTTATTAATAAAATTGATTTAGAATATCAGAAATGGTTGAAAAATAACAAATTATCGAAGACAGCACAATTAATTGATCCAGTTAATGTATAAAACGATTATATTTGCATGGTGATTACCTGGTGATACGAAAGACGATTTCAATGGACTCTTCCAAGCCTACTGAGAGATCGCCGATATCGCAGCGATTGTTGTCGGGAGGTGTCCAACGATCTCGACGAATGACCGACATTTCACGAAACCCTCACGGAAACCTTATTAGGTACGTTTTTGTTAACTAAAGTTCTTGCACGGTTCATCCTTCTTCCTTTTATCTCCATGTTGAAGAGAAAAAGAAAAAAGAAGAACCATGTAAGAAGTTCAACTGAAAAGAACAGGCTTCTTGTTTTCGCGCGAAACGTTTCCTTCCAAATGGCAAACAATCGCGAGAAATGGCGAGAAATACAGAGCAATCGCAATTCGCCGCGATGCGTTCTGGATTAGAGTTCGAGAATTCAACGCGATAATTATTTAAGGCGTGGATCGAAGCAAAGGCAAAAACATTTACACGCAATTTATAGAATATATATATATATATATAGAATTTTTAAATACATTATTTATATATAAAAAACCAGGGCTAATGAGAGTAAAACCAATGTAAAAACTTTTACTTCTTTAATCCAGGAAAAAATAACATCGTTCTTCGCACACCCTTAACTGCACTGTACTCTCATTAGTCCTTGTTCTTCCTTATATTTTTAACGTGAGAGTCTGTACCAAATGCAATTAGAAAAAGATACAATTATTTATAATATCAATATATCAGAAACAATCGAAATGATGAGCTCCAATCGATGCCTGACATAATTTTTAACGTCGAAAACAATGTCAAAACATCAAAAACTTCTAGAAATTAATTTTATACCTTGAAATATATATATAAGGTGAAAAGTGAACGAACTTACAATATTTATAATTTCATTGATCAACACCCAATAAATTTGTTCACTTTTGTAATTTTCATCTCGTTTCAAAATACAAACTCGACCCCCAGGTAATTGCATGCCTCTCCAGTGTCTCTCCTGTTACCACCTATTTAACACCGTTTAGCTCACTGCTTTCTACTTTAGCCGCAGTGTTTCTAGGAGGGCGTTAGTTCACGGTGAAATTGCGAGCTACACAATCTTCCGCAAGACCGACCTTTTCATTAAGAACGCCTATCATCATATTACCGGATAACATTGAATCCGTTGAACAATTATAATAATTAACGTCGAGATGGATAAGTTTATTCAAAATTTCGGGAAATTTGTTGATCGATACTCTGGTAATCGTTTTAGCAATCTACTTTTTCATATAAAATAAAATGCTTTGGCGCTATAAATTGAATGAAATTTGAAAAAACGATAAAGCTTTATCACTCTGTCCACTTAACTATTTTTTTAGTTACTTTCACTTTTTGTGAAAAATTTTAAAGTTTAATGTAAATGCTTAATGCTGTTTCTTCACCAATATCGATTAACTTTAATCTTGGTTCATCTTACCTTCATCTTTTCCTAGAAATAAAAGATAATAGGCCTGTTCTTTGTGGTTGACTTTTGCATCAGTTCATCTTTTTCTTCCTCTTTTTTCCTCCTGGAGAGAAAAGGAAGAAAGCTGAACTAGTGCAAAAGTTCAGCCAAAAAGAACAGGCCTTATGATTCTCCTAAGATCTTAATTCTAATTCTTAGAACTAAAAAAAAAGTGAAGAATAAAAGTGAACTGATTGTGAGATTAGAGTTACAGCGAGTTCGGTCATTTGCATTTTACTAAAATTAATGCATATTAAAAGCTGCTGTATGAAATTATAGCAAAGACATAAATATAAAAGTGTATAAAGACTTTGAATAATTAAATGCCTAATAATATTGTCACATAATAATAATAATTAAAATATAAGAGTCCTTTAAAATCGATAATAAAAAATAAAAGGGCATAAGAGTCAGACGCAAAAATTTGTAAAATCGTTAAGAACTATTTAATACATAATTAGATTCACGTGTTTACATTACATTAACGTCTGATCTGAAAATTAATCTAATTATGTATTATAAATAATTTTTTACGGTTTCTAAAAAAATTAGTGCATATTAAAAACTGCTACATGAAATGATAGCAATTAGATATAAATATAAAAGCGTATTTTAAATAATTAAAAGAGATATGGGGTTTACATGCAGTATCTAGTGAAATCGAAGTAATAAATGACAACAATCTCAAGAATGAATTCCGTCAGATTGAGAGAGAAATCGATTGTTGTAAGCCAATATTGCAAAACTACTGCAACGAGTACGAAAATATAGAAACGGAAATTTGCAACATCAGGCAATTGCAACGAAAAGCGCGGTTCGTATTGGATAACGTGCGATTGGAGGAGGAGGATCTTTGCGAGCGTTTCAAGAACATGCATCTCAACTACGAGGCGTGCATAAAAATATCGAGCTACGAAGATCCGAACGAGACGATTCGTATAAAGATAAACGAACTGACGACGCAGAAAAAGAACCTGTTGGAAGAACTGATACAATTGAGAAAAAAAGCAGATGACAATACAAAGAAGCTCGCCTGTGTAAAGGCCATGATCGCAGAACAAGAAGTAATTATTTCAATACTTGCCCATTTAAAATGTACTTGCAATTATTACAAAAAAAACTTTCGTTGTTTTGTAGGAAAAGAACGCGATAGAGATTCAAAAATTAAAGGAGATTTCCAAGAACGCCGTATCCATTTCGCCAGATATAAAGAAACAGATAGACATTGTTTTGAAAAATCAGGAAATAAATGAAAGCGATGGCTATTAATAATACGGCTATTAATAATAAGTTATTAATAATAAAATTTTTCTATAGAAATTATTTGTACATTAAATACAAAAATATTTAAAATATTATAAACGTGTATTATTTAATACACATAAATTTTATATATATTATATATATAATTAATATATATCTAATTAATAAATAATTTTTCGCTACTGTTTTATTTAATAGAAATATTTTTTTCATAAAACCTATTTTATATTTAATAAAAATACATTATATACACGTTATATACAGCGAGCTTTCAAGATCCATCGCAGAGCTATTCGTTTTCGATCGTTTTAAGACAAGTCGCCAGCTGTTCACACGTTTTTTCTAATCGTTGCACTACGTCTGGCGCGCAATTCAGAATTCTCATCACGTTGTCGTTCGTAGCACGTATTCTCGATCTACTCTCCGCGATTGTCCTCATTAAGGTTTCGTTCTCCCTTTCCATCTCGTTCACCTGTTCCTCCAATTCCTCGGTCGCCTCTTTGATCTTGTGCGCGTCCAACGATCTCAAATGCGAGGTTACATCTCCCGGTGGACGCCTGCAGTCAGACGATGACTCTCAAATAAGAGATTACATTGAGCTGCAATCACGAAACGATTTTCTAACGAATTTATCACCTACCACGCATGTTCGTTAGCGGACGTGTTTTCCTCGGACAATTTGGCTATTTTAGTGAAGTTTTCCTGCAAACTGCCTTCCTTTAATATATCCTCAAGATCATTGTTCATGCTGCTGTACAGCTCCTTTATCATAGCCTTGTGCAGCTTCCGGGCAATGTTGGGATTCGACTTGAGAATCGTGAGTGTCTCGAGAAACTCATTCTCACTGGAACAAAAAATATAACAAAACGATTTATTATTAATCCTTTTATTAACTCTAATATTAATCTTTAATTAATCCTTTTATTAGTCGACCCTTCAACCCTATTAATTTATTAACCCTTCGACTGCGATCATATTTTTACTCCCTGCAATATGGATATTTTTTTGTTCAGTTTTAATTGTTTTATAATTTTAGGCTTACAAAAAATGTGAAAAAATGTAGAATAATTTTTCAACATCTATACTACATTATCAAATAATTTTTAACTCAAACATCAAAACATTTATTTGATAAAAATTTAGCAAAAATAAGACAAAATGAAAATTCATTGAAAAAAGTGTAACTTAGCAATAAAGAAACCGGATTTTGTCTTTCTCTTTATTTCAGAAAAGTTGAAAGTGAAATTTTGTTTGTACCAAAAAAAACAGACTACAAATAGAAAGTGCAAATGAATATTGCGTCTCTGTATCAAATTAGTAGCTCGTAAACGTATAATAGTTATCATGTTTCGAAATAAACACGACCTTATCTAAGATTAACGACATCCGGAAATATAATACTACGCACTGCTGCGTGGCAATTCGACTTATTCGCTGCATCTTGTTTCGTAGAAAAGACGCCTTATCGACCTGGACGATGTACGCGTGGCTTACACTTGCGATATATGTGTGAGAAAGACACGTGCTTTTACTTCGACGACTTTCCAACGCACGACCGGATGCGCGTTCCCTGTACATGATGCATAGTTAGTACAGCCGGTCACAGAAAGGTTGCAACACTTTTTTTTTATGGACTTCAGAACTCAGCCTCGCAACCGTAGAGCGGTTGAACGCAAAGTTAGATCCATAAGATAAGAACCAATCACCCAAGCAGGAAAACAAGTCATTGATATCAAGATTATATCAAATAATGACTCTAAAATGATCATTAAAAGTCATTTTTCAATCATTTCCGATTCATTTTAATGTCATTTTGACGTTATCGTAACTTGTTCTGCTTGGGCACTCGACGAGCAAACTGCATTCCAAAACCCAAGAAAGAAAAGTGTTGCAACTTTTCTGTGACCGACTGTACATGACGACATGATCGCCGGGGATCGAATTTTTTTTTCTTTGTCCCAACATCAGACAAAGAACAGCGGCATCTTCAATTACAAGGGATGGAATTTTAAACAGTTCAACTTTTTGCCGTGTTATAATAAGCATACAATGGTATGATCCAATCTCCTTACTCAGCTTCCGAGACATTTTAAAAATACGCCAGAGGATTATTACGTTTATTTCGAAACTCGCGTAACATTCCATGTACCATGCTATCTACATAAAACGTCACGCTACATTGGACTTACCCAGGATCTTCGTACTGTATAGTAAGTGAGAGCGGCTACGTTGTTTCTCGCGTACTCAATCAGGCCGGGACTGGTGCAATTTGAAATCAATGCTACATATTTGCAATAGTCCAGACCTAACTAAGCACGCTTCCGTTTCCGATAATCCAGAAACACTGTTAAATCCATAATGTTAAATTATGCCTAATTCGAGTTATTTTTAATAACTTTAATCATTTACATTACTGTAGGTCTCTATTCCTATTCAATGTGTCATTAATTTAACTAAAACAATTTAACTCAAAAAATATATTAAGGATGTTCTCGCGTTTGATGAAATATAAGACAAATCTATAATATACAGTAATAAAAAAGTTAATAATATCAAATTCTAGAAAAAATTTCATTGACTTTTACCGTACCATTTTGAAGATATTTAATTCTAAATTTATAGAATTATTTTACATTACAAGTTGAAGATATAACCTTATTCCTCTTTTAAATTGAGACATTTGCTATTGTTAGTAATCGTTTTACATATTATTATGAATAGTTTATTCATAATAATAGACAGTTTGTCTATTGACTAGGAAATAGCACAAGAACCTCCTTAAATTTGACTCCAATTTAATTTATTATTTACTAACAAATAATATTTACGTTGTTTATCTTGAAACTAAACAATTCAACCAGAAATGGAATGACTTATATTTTAACATTTTTAACACACATGAAGTTAAAAATAACAAAATATTATTTAATTCAAGATTAGGTTAATAGTATTATTCCTTAGATATCTAACGGTGAGAATTCATTCGTTCATTCAAACTTACTGACGCACTCGCATTGTCCTTTAAATCACGCACACAGAATCGAATCAATAACCGATATAGAATATTAAATTTCATAGATATCACAAAGTAAAATTAATAATTAATATCACTTTTAACGCTCTCGTGTAACTTTTTTACACACAATTAAATATAGAAACCACCCAGATCACACAAATTAAAACGAACTATATTCGAGTATTTATTCAAATCTATAAGTTTCACGGTGAAACTTATAGATTTGAATAAAATATTAACACATTGTACACCTAATATAGCTCGTTTTAATTTGTGAGTGGTTTCTATATTAAATTTCGTATACAAGAAATCTTTTCCAACAATTCTGTAGCATGTAAGCGTCGAAACTTTTAGAAATAACGACTGTATATCTCGCAGACGAATATACGACCTGCGGCACTCGAGTAATGAAAGAATCAACTGGCTCTGCTACGGGGAGAGAGTACGGAGCACGCAGCACGCACTCGTGCGTGCATGCACGATTCCCGCGACACGTAACGCACGAATGACCGTCGCCCCCGCGTCGGTCACCGTGGCAGGAGGCCTTTGTTTCCCCGAACGCTTCGTGGAATTCCTCGAAGGTCAACTAGTGGAGCCGTGCGAAGGAGAAGCCTTCCTGGAAGCGTTGCCGAAAGGGTTTCAGCCGTTTCATCGAGAACTCCGACGACGATCGCGACTCGAATTCGAACGTGAACATATATACGGCCACGTGAACGGCCATGGCGGAGTTGGGAATTAACATGCGAACCGCGGAGGCCAATGACATCGAGTAACACCGAGTGGCGTTTAGGTCATTGACGATGCCGATCCCTTCCACGCGTACGTACACATCATCTTGATCTTTCCATCTTGACTCTCTCTCTGCCTCGTTACATCAATAAATCACGAATCGTCTTCTCGTAAACAACGGACTGCTAGACTAGAGACGTAGAAGACGGTGGTCTTACACGATGGTTTTTGTATTTATTTATCTAAAACATAATTTTGGATTTTAAATAGTACCGATATATTGTATATAAAAATGATTTTTACATCTCTCAGTACGCTTTTAATTATACAGGTGATCCGTTCTTTATAGCTGATCTTGCATTTTTCTTTTTCTTTTCTCCAACGTGGAAAGAAAAAGAAGATGAACCATGCAAGTTGAATGAAGAAAAATGGACCTAGAATAGATATTCTTAAAATGAACACCTAAAATTAAAAAATTTCTCTCATGTATACACTGATTCGAATATCATGCATAGAGAAATTTTATAGAACAAGAGATTCGAGGGATATTATTTCTACATTTTTTGAATTTACACTGAAATAAGATTAAAATTACAGAATCTGAGGTTATTTCTTAATTAACATGCTTGCATTTTTTCGCTAAAAGAAAAGAGAATATTAGAAGCAATTTAAAATCCGAAAAACTGTAAACAGAGACGTTCGGATCCAAGAGATTCTCTTCTCGACCACGTGTCACGTGACGCACTTGACACACTTTCGATAGCGGTACTGTTATTACGTGGGCGTATATGAATTGCAATTTTTGTGCATAGCCAGCCATTGAAATTAAAAAGGCGTATAATAAAGACGGGGTCTTTTCCCAGCCGAATAAAAAAAGAGGCCGATATAACGATCGAGAGCAAAAAAGATCTCATAATATAAAGAAGTCTTACATCTTTTTCTGCTCATTTTCTACCAACGCAGTTTAATTTTAATCTCGGCTCAACTAATTTTTCATCTTTCTTTAGTTCTAAGAATTTGTAGAAAGATGAAGATTTATAGATCGAATGAGATTAAGATTAATTGTTCTATAAATTTATAGAAAGATGAGGATTAAGTTGAACAATAAAATTAAAGTCAATTTGATAGAAACGGACATTAGAGAAACAAAAAGCTTCTAGCGAGATTACCAGAAGTGGCGAGAACCAGACGTAGCTTCTCCTTACTCCAGCTTATCGGCTTCTAGCGGGAAGAAAGAAACGCGGGAATGGCAACAGTGAGAGGTTAAGTTAAGCGCGCGAAGTTGCGCGCGAAACCGAGAGAAAAGGCGCGCGACCGATTGGGGCCAACGTCACTCACCTAACAGACTCGGCTATGTTTTTCAGGTTGTTGGAGACGGCGATTCGGAACAGCCGCGCGTTGTTTGGACAGTCTGCTTCCTCGTCCTCCGTCATTTCCCGGCGATTCCTCTTCTTCGCGGGAAAGACTAGCTACGGCACGCGGCGTCAACGATGATCAACGACACCTCATAATAACAGTTAACAGTTCTCGCAATTCTCGCATTCCTCGCCCACCCAAACCGTCGCTAACGTCCTCGCGTCTCGACAAGATTTGAATTACTCGGTAACTGCGTCGACGCGTCGAAGTTTAAGAGCCTGGTTGGTAATTGAAGAACTGACTTTATCAACTGTGACTAAATAAGATAAAATTCTTATTATTTATCTTCAGAATAACCAAAACAGTTTCCATTTATTATAATAATTATAAGACATTGCGAAGGAAGTATAAAATATCTCGTAAACTATTGGTTTTTTGATACCTCTACCTTAATACTTTTATATGCAGAATAATTAGAGGAATCATATTGTGTAAAAAAAATCAGAGAATTACATTTAAAAAAACGAAATTGACCTTGGAATCTCTGAAACGCCTCCACCTGGACAAAAATTATTATCATCTGGAGAAAAATTTTTGATATTTCAATTTATGTTCTATTCTTATATAGAATCATATTGAAAACAAGTGCTATCGGATACTGAAGAATTATTTGCATTACTAATTTGATATCGGAATTCGATGAAGACAAATTTAATAATAAATTCTATTTAACAGCGAAGAAATTAAAGTTATGCAATTTGTTAAAATTTTAATGACAATATCATAAATCTTAACGTAGGCATAATATAACTTCAACAATTAATTTAAATAATCGCTTAAGTACAAAGTGGTAAACACCCCGTAACTGATAACTGAACTGAAGTTACTTGCAAGCTCTATTAATATACAATAAAATACAGAGATACATGAGTGATATGCTTCCATATTGCAAGTTTTGTAGAAAATACCAAATAATTACAATATTTATATATAATTATAAAGAGTCTAATTATTTATTTCCTATTACTTTTTTTTTGAAATTACAATATTAATATTTTCTTGAAATATTTGATATATGTTACAATAGTAAACAAGACAGATACACTACACAAATCTTGATGCTATCGCTATTAGTTTAGTATAATCTGCTCCTTTGCTGTGAGTTTTTTCTTTCATTTTCGTTCGGAGTATGTGTGGAATGGGCACCTGTATTCTTGTACCTAGAGGTGTGCCATTGTCATCTATGAGTACCAGATTGTTGGTATCAAACTTGGGAACTTTAGGAGCCTGTTGCTGTTTCAATCCAACCAGAATACCCTTTTTCTTTTCGCCCCTTATAGCAACTAAAATTCTATCACCTGGATAATTCGTACAGCAATGTTTAGATAAATTTGATTCTATAAAATAATAATAGTTTTTATATCTTTCATTTATTGTCTCACCGATGTATCCCACCCCAATCTTGTTGTAAACGTGTATGCAACGTGGTGGTCTACCCTCCATCATAGCTTTCTTTCCTATCTCACTATTATCCACTACTCTCAATCGACTCAATTTAATTATCTGACTTGCAGGGGTTGAAGTAGAAATGTTTCTGCTTGCAACATTTAACATCGCAAAAGGTGACAACATTATCTCCCTTTAGGATAATCTAAAACATCAAATAATATAAAATTACATAAAGTATTTAATATTATAATAACATTACTGGCAACCTAACCTCCCTCCTAGCAGAAAGATAAACGACATTAGAAACGATAAATTAAACGAATTCTTCTTTCTCAGATATTTTTTATGATATTTACCGTAGAATATGAGTTTTCTCGTTGACAATTCTAATTCTAAAATCAATTTGGAGTTTTTAATCGCAATAACTTCTCCGAGAGATAACAGAAAGCACAACTTTTACATAACCTCAGCTTTGCTTAGAATATTAAACCTAACCTAAAATCATTGACGGTGAGCAAGTGTGACGATACGGAAAACGTGACTTTTTGTTGTCATCATGAACAAAATATGTCGTCTCGAGAGAACGTTAATGCATTTACGATCTCTCGGCGTTCTGAGAGCGAGTTCCTCGTCCACGAGATGTTTCAGCACGAGTAAAGATTCAGAGGAACAAAGCAAGGATTCGCCTTCGTCCGTGGAGCCCAACATCGAGGAGCCTGCAATACAAGTAAAAGAGAATGCAGAAGCAATTCAGGAATCTGAAGCGAAATTGAGCGGTTTTGCACGAAGTTTCGAAAAGTTCTCGCACATCGACGATAAAAAACCAGAAACGCCACAGACATTTGTTTCCTTAATTCGCAACTCCAAATTTGTCGATGTAAATCTCTCCTTTTCATAATGCATACAATTGTTTGACTGCTCTTTAAATACATACTTTAATATTAAATACATAATTTTGTTTTCTCAGTTGGGTGATCCCGAAGGAAAAGTCGTAATTGGTGAGATATATCATGTGGTTGGTGATGATCTGTATATTGATTTTGGATGGAAATTTCACTGCGTTTGTCGGAGACCAGTCAAGAATGAACAGTACGTATAAATCTATTTTTTTTCCAAAACATCTTATTAATTGTTTAATGATATTTGCTTTATATCAAATATACTGATGAATACTATCTTAAATATTATTATTTTGTTCTTTATTTTAGATACTATGTGAGAGGATCTAAGGTTCGATTAAGGATAAAGGATTTGGAACTTTCCTCCAAGTTCTTAGGTGCTGAAACAGATATAACTCTTCTGGAAGCTGATTGCACTTTAATTGGCTTAATATCGTCACCTATGCAAATATCAGAACAAAGAATGCAGACAACCAGAAGGCCGAAAAAACGAAATATTTTATAAATATTATTAACGTTAATTTTGTAATATCTATGTTAAATAAACTGTAGAATTTGTACGATATGTATGTAAATAGCGTGTTTCCAACAAAACAGTTTTGTGCAAAGTAATACAGGGTATATGTATGTCACATCGTTCACAATCTAAGTTTCTAATTTTTTAGAAATAATTTTCATTTTAGAGTTGCTTGCAGAAAAAGAACGAAATTAGAAACAAAAAAGAAAGAATATATTTTAAAAGAGCATTTGAGGAACATTTATTTTAAAAGAACTTAATTTTGTTCTTTTTAATTATTACATCGATCAGTTATTACATGAAAACTACATTTCAAAATTAATTATTGTAAAATAATAATTTCTTGATAATTAATATTGCAAAATTTTAATGATTCCAACATTCAAAGACTTGTTTTCTGGAATTTGTCTTTGGGTAATTGTGTCAAATGAGCGATATATGAATCGAGCATATGTACTAGGTAGTTGCTAGTGTACTTTTCTTTATTTTTTTATTTTCAATTTTCAAAGTACTAAGTATACCACAGTTGATATCATTAGCTCGAATTAAGTCTCACGTAGGAACACTAGATGCCCCTCATGGTGAACGTTGCAGTTCACTTCATCTACATTTCATCAAGCCAAGGAGCAGCCTGATACCCCAGAGTATCATCATGAAACTTTTTTCCTAAGATAAAAAGTGAAAAGTGAAAAATTTCTCCATTAACTTCAATGGTAAAAATTTTTACTTTTCACTTTTCATCCTGTAGAGATAAAGATTATGATTGATACCCTGATACCACCTGATATGCAACGTTTACGAAACGTTGGCATTTTAAGGGCGGTATTGATAGTCAGATCTTATATTCAAGACCGTCTTAAATACAATCTTAAGAAGTCACGAACCAATCAAAAGGCCGTATTAGCATCTTAAAACATTACTTAAGACAGTCTTGAAATAGAAGAACGGACTATGAATACCGCTCTAAAAGAATGGATTTAGACACGGAAATAACCCGCAAAACGCATAATTTCTGTAAAAAAAGAGCTCGCGGAAGTCTCAAGTATCAATGTTTTTTATGCTTCTTTGAAAATTCAAGCTGAGATACATTGAAGCGTCAGTTTAATCGCTTATATCATCTTTTCGAATGTTACTCGTTAGATGTTTTTATTAGCAATGCCTTTTCATTTCTGCGAGAAAGCAGCCGCGTGCATTTACAATGCAAGACAATTAGATTAGTTCATAACTAACACGATTATATCACTATCTTCTCAGCTTGTATTGCTTGTATTTCTGCTTAGTGCCAATTTTCCGGATCAACCTGTAGCGATTGCGGAACCGGTTTGCGATGAATGAAGTCTGCTTCATCGCAAGTTATTTGCTAATGATTATGGCGAAAGTATTGACGAAGATATCGAAAGTGCGGCACGAATAGTTAATTAATCCTCGTTGCGATTACAGCACGCATGTCAATACAATATGTATATAATCACTCTATGAAAAGGTGCGTTAGATCAATCGACTAATTCCAACAAGTGTTATCGTACACGCTTGTCGCATATGCTTAAAAGGTCATTTTTAATTAACGCTTGTCTTTGATAGAGTCAAAGATATTTTTATAATTTCGCTATTATTTTTAAGAGATGGATTCGTCAATTTGTCTTTCTTACAAAAATTTAATTAATTTTATTGGAAGGTTATAGTAATTAATTACTTATTTTGAGTATTAGATAGATATTCTGTTGTTCGGTGCTTTCATAAATATTCAAAATAATCACTACCTTCTATTAATTATTTTCTGTAATCTATAAAATAATAAGATTAGTTATTAACGAAGTATGTCTTCCTAAATAACAATGCTTTAAATACTCAAAACAAGCCATTAATTTTTTTTTTAATAGTGAAAGAGCAATTTTGCTGAAAAATCTAAAGTTTTGGCTAGATACAGATCTGAAAATAATTTTGTTGGACCATCAAAATAATTTTGCAGGAATTGTTAAGCATGATGAGCAATGCTGCAAAATGTTTTGATATTTTAGCAACCAATTTTGTCCTACCTAATTGTTTTGATGGTCCAAAATCACTTTCAGATTTGTATCTAGCTAAAATTTTCTGGTTTTTCAACAACAAAATTACTCCTTTAATGTATTAAATTGGATTTCTGTAAGGATTTGATTTAGACATTGTGACTACACCCAAGTAGCGCTTGCAAAGCAGCTTGCAATTATATGCGCTTTTTATTATTTGGCGCTTTGTTAACGCTTTGTAAGCACTGTATGCTACTTGGGTGTAGCCAGGGCTGGGCATGTACTTATTTGAAACATTTTTATTTGAAGAACAGTATTTGTAAGACAATTGTATTTTGTATTATGCATTTCAACGGCGCACATGCAAATATTTTGTATTTTGTGTTTCATTACAGCATATAAAAATAATTTTGTATTTTAGTATTAATAACGAAAGATTACAAAATACTAAGATTGATAATTAATGTTAATATTTGAATTACAAAGTATAAAAAAACTTACAATTTTTCGATTTTAAATACAAAATACATAATACTTTTACGTTCTCCGCTGAAATACAAAATACAGAATATACTTGCAAAAACTGTGTTTTAAATAAAAGTATCTCAAATACATGCCCAACCCTGGGTGTACCACGCTCGTACGCTGAAGCAAATTTGTTCTTTCGCACTCATTCGCGCCTTTGCTCGATCTAGATTTGACTCTAGAGATGCGCGCATTTATGTTCTGTCACATAACATACATTATGGAGGTCCGCCACTGCGACGACGGCTGCACCCCTCGGAGTACACGCGTTTATATGAGCGCCTGATGCTTTCCAAAGGTCAACAATGACAGCAAAGAGGAGCTGCACCGCCTCGTAAAAGCAACGTTGCGACGTGCCTTGGTTACATTATGCAATCGACTTTTTACTCAGCAGCCTGAACTATATTTTCTTTTTGCTCGGCTAACCTCGCTCTCGCGGGAAGGCTCCAGCTACCGACAGCCAAGGCGTCCATTCACTTGCTTCACCAACGCGAGAGAGGAGCAACCGATCGGTTGGAGTAACCGAAAGAGATCGCGCGGCAAATAATCCGCGACAGAGGGATATCTCTTTCTCTCGTTTAAAGAGATTACATCTACTGGGCGAACAATAAATAATGCTTTCTTTCTCTTTCTCTGATTGATAGGCGATATATAACTCAGCACACAATATTTGTAAAATATTTACAAAATATTTATAAGATTTATCTTAAATATTTTGTAAATATTTTTGTGGTCTTAGATTGCACAGATCATAAACATTATTTTAAATATTATGTAATATTTATTGTAAATGTCATAGTAAATGCTGCGAAGATACTTAATGAGATATTAAAATCCAAATAAAAAATATTTATTAGAAATATTTATTTATACTTATCATAAATATTACACAAAAGATTTAGTCTACATTTTAATAACATTTTGAATAAAGCTTTATATAAAATATGTATGAAATATCTATATAACATTTTTACAAAATGAATATTAATGAATATTTATCATAAATATTCTGTGCTGTCTGGGAACGATCTCGCGGATCGAAATTCCGTGACATTTTCGAATTCCGATGCGGCGAACGACACCCGATATATATTGCATAAGCGTGAGCATTACAGAAATACGTAGTAAACCATGCTTTTTCTGCGATTTCGTCGAATACAATAAGTCGAATAAGTGATACTTTTAAATAATTTACGTATCTCGTACCAATAGCTCAGGTAGAACACAAAAGGCTAT